CTATTAGCAAATTATTGTATCTACCAAATATTTGATTTAGCCCATTGCCAACATTTGACTTATTAAACATAATTTTGATCTCTTTTCTCATTAATACATTTTATTCAAAATATGAAGAAAGACAAGTCTGTAAGTTTTAAAATGATTGAATTATAGACTGCAACATTGTCAACCATTAACTATGCTCCGTGTAAACTCCGTGAAGTCGTCTTCAACTTAGATCCCCTCTCGGAGACACAAAAAAACCAAACCAAATATTTTTAACTTCCTTTTACTTTGTTCTCCCTATCGGAGTATAAACAACCTAAAACATAGTGAATTCATTTTCAAAAGCTAAACAAAGAATATTTTCATATAAAGAATTAGTGACTTTCGTTAATAATTAATTGTCATTTATTTCAGAAGTTTAAAAACGTCTTAGTACTGTCCAACTATTTAACCCCTTTGTTATCTACTAATAGATCGTAAGAATTTTTTCATTAAAAACATTCATTATAACAGTTTTATATGTTACTATTTATGTAATTTTTTTCAGGAAATAAAGAAAAATCTTCGTTATCGATTTTATACCAGGGGGGTTATTCTGTTGTGTGTCTCTTCAACTTGAGAATCTTGTTCCTATCTGACAACAAACATGTGATTGCAGAACTCGATTTTGTAAACATTATTGTGTAGTATCACAATTAAAACATTTAGCACCAGGAACAAAGTCTCGGTATTTCCCAAATGTGGTCTTCTAACATTTTTTACCTTTAATTGACGGAGATATTTGGAAATTTGACCAGATTCCAAATAATTGAAAATCAACAAAACTGTCCAAATGTTTAATATCTCCGTCAATTTTAAAGAAACAAAGAAGGGAGACCACATTTTAAAAAGCTCATTAGACTTTCAGTCCTTTTTTGATGCCCTGGATATGAAAAACAGTATTGAGCCGAAGAATGTCATGCAACAGTTGTGAAAAACCTTTTTTGAATTCGCAAAAAATTTAATAATAAAAAAAAATAATTCTGAAAACGTATCCACCTCCAAAGTAGGAGTTTTGAAAATCGAATTTTCGCTCGAACTCAGGATTTACAAATCTTTAAAAGTTTAATATGACTCAAATGAATCCGAAATAAGTTTTCCACAACACTGCATACACAGTTTAACTACCTTACATAGTCGGTCACCCCCTTTAATCCAAAATTAATCCTAATATTCCCATTATTCAGGTAAACCAGTACGTTTCAGTTAAGTTATGCCTGTCCCAAAATAACTAGAAAGAAGAAAGATTAAAAACAGAAAAAGTGCCATGTTTACGTAGATTGTTATAATAAAAAATATTTTTTAATAAGAATTAGTCAATCATTGCTATGAGTAAAACTAAATGAAGAACTACCAAAAAATTTTGAAATGGAAGGTAAACAGCTAGCCTGTATAATTAATCTGGTCTAGTTTTGAAAGTAAGAATTGATAAAACTAATTACGGAATGGTTTTATAAATTATAATACGTAATTTTGCGTAATTATGCCTTAATTACGCAAAACTATAAACTTTCTTAAAACGTAATTACGACTGGAAACCATAAGTTTGACCCTGGAATTCACCGGAACTCATATAACCGACAGACCCATCTAAACTCCCAACAATAAGTCCAAACTCCCAACAATAAGTCCAAACTCCCAACAATAAGTCCAAACTCCCAACAATAAGTCCAAACTCCCAACAACAATTGTCCAAACTCCCAACAACAAGACCAACGTTTCTGGGATAAATATTGGTTTTCAGGAACGTATGCTCAACACTTAGTCCAACTGTGATCTTTCTTCTATATATAAATTTGGCTTGTCTGTCTGTTTGTTTGTCTGTTTGTTTGTTTGTTTGTATCCAATAAACGTCAAAACGGCTGAACCGATCGGGCCCAAATTTTNGAATAGCAAAGTATACAATTATTTTTAAATGCCAAGCCACGAAGGCTTGAGTTTATGTTTATAAAAGTTAGATTTAATTTACTTAATTCGTTGCACCGCCGTTCTGTAATCTTTCTTTTTTTTACAAACTACAAACTAGCTGAAGTGCATGCCAGGCGTTGCCCGTGAAATGTTAAAAATCGAATTAAAACAAAAAACTTATAATTTTTTTGGCTTATGTCATTCCCAATGGTATATAAAATATATATACAATTTATATGTTTCCTATGGCTGACCAAACGACTGAATCAAAAGAGCTGAATTTCAGTGAGGAAACTCATGGATGGATATATGGGATATATGGATGGATATATGGGATATATGGATGGATATATGGGATATATGGATGGATATATATACATATAATTATATAGATTACTATTGTACTCCTACTTTTTTTCAAAACGTAAACTTTTACAAGTCATAATTATTTTCTGGACCTACGTCCTTCTTTTTATCTCGTAGAATTCAAGTTTAAGTTGAGTTTTTTTTTATTTTCCAAAATGTCTTTATCTTTATAAATACTAATTATTACTAACATAACAGTATCATAAAATGTCGATTTTTTAGAAACAATACCTTTTTCTGTAATAGTTTTGTTTGAAGGATGAGATATATATATAAAGTATATAGTGCATGCAAGCAAGGTAATTGGACTGTACTGTATGTGTACGGTACCTAAAGCATCTTATTATACGCTGCACCAAGAAGCCAAATGTTTTGAATTTATACTGTTTGAATTTTCCCCCCCCCCCCTCCCGTAGGAGCTCCTATGGGGGGGGCAAATTTTTCTCCCCCTAAGATTTATTTCTGTATATACGTCCTAATTTGTTTCAATCAATCAATAAAGACAATATTTAAGTTTTTAATTTTCTGATTAGTGAGACATACTGTAAATACATACGCGATTGGGTGGCGAGAGTTCTAGCTCCTACCGCCATGGGTCCTGACTCCTGATGGTCCACAAAGTTTTTGTATTTATGTAAATTATTTTCTTTTCTGTTGTGGCAGGTAGTGCGATGTTGTGATCATGACAGCCTCAGTCCTGTCTGCTTCTAGCTTACTCCATTGGGCCCTGGACTAACTTCCGATATTTGGGGNATAAAATAAGAATATACATTTCAACAATTACATTTGGACTGTATAAATTATATAAAACTTTCAAATTCAAATATTACGATTTTTTTTATCAGTGGCGGCTTACAATATTTTTCCTGGGGAGGGGGAGGGAATAATGAAATTGGAATTTTTAAAAGGTAATTAAGTTATTTTTACATCAAAATCTGATGGTCATGTTGAGAGGAGAAATTATGGTGCCCAATTTTTTAAAATTTAAGCTCTGGCAGAAGTAATATATTTACAAACTTTCAATAACTCCGAAGGCAAAGTATTTTTATTTTTTTTTTGTCAAAATCAAGTAACACGGACTAGAACTTGCCCTTTGTTAATATTTTTTTCCAGGGGAGGGAGATCCTCCCAATTTTTCGGTGGGGATGTCCTTCCTTTCCACCCCCTGCTTAAAGCCACCTCTGTTTTTATGGTGTAATATGCAGTAACAGTGGTAATGACAAGAATACTATCAACAGAATGTTTTGGACCCCCCCCCACTTCTTTCTTTCACCAAAAATGGATGGTTCTCCTGATTTACTCCTCTTGTGAATAATCCTCCTTGTTCTGTTCATTTGAGAATAGTTCTCCAAAAAAGGAGCTTCCTTGGAATTCCTTTTAAGAAGAGCTTCTCATGTGACATGGACAATTAGGCAGTTCCAAATGTTACCACAAGAGGTCTTCTTGAGTTTAAAGTAAAATTGAATTATACACAGAAAATAAAACTGTTATCATATTAAACAAAATGATATTTTCTAGAATTAGATATTTATGTTTGTTCATGAGTAATTCACCAACAAAAATATAATATTTGTAATAGTCACAAGCTATAGGTTATATTATAAAGATAGCTGTATCCAATAATAGATCACATATGCATATGTTTATAATTGGTAAATACATTTTAGTTAAATACATATACTTAATGTTTATAAAAGTTAATTACCACAAATTTTGAAAGGAATATCTAATACCTATTTTAATTGTCTTCATATGGGGTTTAGCAACAGTGCCCTAGAAAATGTGTAGCAAAGGTGATTTAAAATAATTCTCCTAAAGAGGTGTAATAATTATGAACCTAAAACCCTCTAAAAGAGGGGCACCTCAAAGTACAATTTGGTCAGTGCATGGAATGGTGCACTTCAATCGCATCACTTTAGAATACCGCAGAACCTCCCTTTTTGGAGAATTGGAGTTCTGTTTTTTTCAAACTCTGCAATATGATTAAACGGTGCACCTTTTATCCTCCATTCTTGGTATATTTTCTTGTTGGGTAGGTATTTTGGCCATTTTTACCTCACAACCCTTAAATGTCAAGGGGATGGGGTTAAATTAATGTTATATAAGATAAGTAGGCTTTTAGGGTGCTACTGCTTCCCGCTCATCTTTTCAATTGTGAACATGTTCTCATTGTAACATTGAAAAAACAAAGAAAAAAATGATGCACAATTTTCAAAATAATTTGCGGATTTTCAAGATTTTAAAATTAAAAAAAAACTTTTAAATGAAAATCATTTAAATTTTTATCAATTATAAGCCTTCTCTTTAGAGATCCCACAAAAAATTTGGGCCCGATCGGTTCAGCAGTTTTGACGCTTATTGGATACATAAAAGAAAAGCAGACAGATAAGCCAAATTTATTTATAGATATTATATAAGATAATATTAACTCATGGGCCAATTCAGGAATTTGCTAGAGGTGAGCCAATTAAGAATTTTCTCACCATATATTCCATTGCTCCCGAAAATGCTACAGGGGGAGCAATTTTCCATCGCAAAAATAAGTAGTTTTTATGTGAACAAAAAATTAGAAAATTGTTGCCAGACGTTGTCGCCAGTTTTTTGTTGAACCAGAATTCCATAAAAATTAAATACAATGTAAAATATAATTGAGAATGGAGATTCCAGGGCCCGATCTTACATATATTTACAATCTCAGTTATACTGTGTTGGGCTAGGCACAAGGGCAGCTTCACGCTAGAGTTTACTCCTGTAGATCTCTAAAGAGATTTGCTTACACGGTAAACCGTGCCAGTACATTTCACAGTTCTCTAGAAAAATACATTTATTGTGCTTCGGAGTGTTTAAACATCAGGAAAATATTTAAATCATAGAAAGTGAGAATCAATGGTTTAAAAGAAAAGCATCATTTGTTCTACGTGAAAAATTCTCCCTTAATCCTTTTATACGTGTTTTCATCATGAAAGAGTGAAATAAGGTAAACAATTCGTGAAATTACCACGGATATATTTTGTAGAATTTGTAAAATAATTCTTATATAATTACTTTATATGTTTAAACATGCAGTAAAATATGTCCTTGAGTTTCTTCTTATTATACCCACTTAAAATACCATACAAGCTCTTTATTTAACAGGATTTAAATGTCATATATAAACTAACATACACTGTTCTTAATCTTCCCCCCCCCCCACCCCCGGCCCTTTCCATGGAACCCCTGGTTATAATTGGGAAAATGTCAACAAATGTCTTGTTTTTATTAGTATTGGCGTAAAGTAACGTACATTATTGCGTTAATGTTAATCATGACAATGATGCTAATAGATATTTAGTCATATTTTATTTTGAATTTTTCCGGTTATGACTTATGTTTCATATCTAGTTTTTCTGAAATATGTTAAATTCGTTGGTTGCAAGGTTGGTTGTACAGAAATAAAGATTAATTTTGGAATTCATACATACATGGGAGTCTAAATTATTTACAGTTAGAACACAAATTCAGAAGTAAATTGAATAAACCTGCGTCTAGAAAATAATATATCCACACTACACAATATTACATAACGCCATAATTTATTAGACAACGATTTTTGGAGCCCCCCTAGGCCCTTCCTCCCCCTTTCCTATCAATTTTGTACATGGAGCTCATATGTTACGATTGTTCAAAGTTGAACATGTGGCCGCAGCGTCCGGCCCCCTATTCTTTACTTGCCGCTGTGCTTGGCCCCCTAGCCTGTCCTAGCCGCAGCACTGGCCCCCTAGTCTGAAAATCATTCTCTAGGACAGACCCCAAAAATCCACCATTATAATATATCCCAAGATTGTTTTGATTTTTAATTAGATCAATTTTAATTTATGGGAAAACTATTCTTAACGTTGAGTTCATAATGCTTGAAATTTGCATGTCGTCTTTACAGTCTCATCCTTTGGGGTAACATTGTAATTAGATTTTCCATTAATTTCATTATTCAAACACAAATTTTTTAATTTTTCATATGTGTTCCCAAAAATTATGAATTACGACATGTCAGAAAAATTTAAATCCCTTTAAAGACGACATTTCATTTGAAAACTTCTTTTGTTTTTGCCTGCATTTCCCCCGGACCTGGGGTTTTAGTCTCGGTCAAACATTTCCAGAGGACTTCCCCAAATATGTCCTTAAACATTTCTGTAATATGTTCTGACGTAATCTATGTATAAATTTGGCTTGTCTGGGTGTTTGTATCCAATAAACGTCAAAACGGCTGAACGATCGGGCCCAAATTTTTTGTGGGACATCACGTGACCACAGGGAAGGTTTATGAATGATAAAAATTAAAAAAAATGTGTTTAAAGGTTTTTAATTTTGTAAAAAAATTTAAATTCTTGAAAATCCGCGAATTTTTTTTAAAAATCCGCAAAATTTTTTTCTTTTTTATTTTAAAATGTAAACAAAAAGAACATGTTCACAATTTAAATAGAAGATGAGCGCGAAGCGCCCTAAAAGCCTAGAAAGAAGGTCTCGAAGCGCCCTGAATTTCTAGTATATATAAATTTAGCTTTTCTGTCTGTTTGTTTGTATCCACTAAACGTCGAAACGGATGAACCGATCGGGCCCAAATTTTGTATGGGACTTCACCTGACTCCAGGGAAAGTTTATGAATGATTTAAATTTTAATAATTTGTGTTTAAAAGTTTTTTATTTTTGTAAAATTTTTAAAATGCGCGAAAAAAAATATGAAATCCGTGAACTTAAAAATTTTTTTTTTTTAACTACAAAGAGAAGATGCTCGCAGATAAAGCCTCAATTGAAAGTTGCAGTAGAAGATGGGGCCCTTAAACCCTAGTATATCCAAATTACAATGTTACATGTGGTTATTTACAATATCAGTTTCAACACCTTTATTTAGTCAAGGGTACTTAAAATGAAAAAGTGTAAAATCAGAAAATAAAGAACACATAAAATGGCACTGATTTCACTAAAAGATAAGCATTTTAGTCTAATTTATCACTACAATTTATAATTTTGTCAGACACATAATCACTGAGTTGACACTTATGACGTAGATACAACTGAACTGAGAGTGTACTCAATTGTACATGATAATCTATTTGTATGGAAATATGAAACAAACGAATTTTGTATTACGTCGATACAGGACTTCTGAGAAACATAATGTTGAGATAGGACTGTACTTGGCCCATGGGCTTATGCAATACACTGAAAATGGTGTTTTAAGGTCAAACTCAAAAAATACATAAATGGTTCCCCATAGATAAATAATACATCAGAGCTGGGAACTTTAGAATGGATAACCTTTAATCCTAACTACTTAATCCGAATATCCACTTTGGAAACTTTTTATTTTAGTCCTTAATCCACTCTTTTTCTCTCTCTTTGGATATCCTTACATTATTTTCTCCAATGAGAGTGCAGGAATAAAGTTCGTAAATTGTATTGACCAATGACGGCCTTGAAAATAAAGTCTATCACATGAGAAAAACCCGCAATTTCCAACAAATAAAAAATTTGTGGTCGGCCATTCTGTAAATTAATCGGTGAAGAAAAATATCTAAAAACAGGTTTGAGATTCTTTTGTAAACAATTAATAAATAAATGGGTGAGAAATTAAGTGAATGCCCTTCCAGTCAGGAAAACGAACCAATCTGGCGTTCTTAGGATCCAATTTGTTTATCTAAATATTTAATCTCAAGACTAACATAATCTCGAAATTATTTTAGTCTCGAGATTAGCAAAAAGAGAGGATTAAGCATTAATCCTGATCCACCATTCTAAAGTTCCAAGCTCAGATGTAACAAGCATGGATTTGCTTTACTTAATGGAGCATTTTTTATCTTTGCTTTGTGCGTATATTCGAACCACAGTTCAAATGTGTCGTCATATGATCGAAAATTTTAAATTCTTAAGAACTAAATTAAAATGAACGGAATTTCAGCGTTAGAACATTTGAAAAAGTTTGCGTCAGGTTAGTAAGAGGACGTTTTTGGACCGAGCGCTGACAACAAGATAGAAAAGGGGGTAAATACTGCCTTCTTGGGCCTTATGAGACTAAATATTTTTGAACGTAATCAAATTAACTAGACTTATAAGGATATAAATCACTTAAAGCATTAAAGGGGCAGACCGGCTATGTAAGGTAGTTCAACTGAGTATGCAGTGTTGTGGACAAATTCTTAAGGATTCACCTGAGACATTTAAAACTTTTTAAAGATCTGTAAATTCTGAGTTTGAGCGCAAAGTCGACGTTCAAAATCGTACTTTTGGGTGGATACGTTTTCAGAATTGTTTTTTTTTTATTATTATTATTAGATGCAGACGACAAAAAATGTAAACCAAATTCTCCAGTAAACTAATCAATTGTTTAGGAACAGGTTGAGGAAATAAAGATTAATTTTATCATCAAAAATAAGTAATATTATTCAATTATTAGTTTCTATAATCACTCATTATTCACAAGATTTCCTACAGATTTTCTGGAATTATTATTGAAAAGACGACCTTTGAGTAATTTTTAGAAATCTGCGAATAAATTCATAGAAAATAAGAAATTCAATACAATGATGAAACTAAATAATCTATTCTAGCATTGATTTGTTGACAAATTTCTTTTGAGAAATATGTTCCTAACTATTAGTTTACTGCAATTTTACTTAATTTTTCGTCGTCGTTATTTAAAAATAAAAGAAAAAACGATTCTGAAATCGTACCCACCCAAATTCATGGTTTTGAACGTCGACTATGCACTCAAACTCAGTAATTATACATCGTGGAAACATTTTATATGTCTCAAATAAATTCTTAAGAATTTGTCCACATCACTGCATACTCAGTTAACTACCTTACATAGCCGGTCTGTCCCTTTAAAACAAATTCTTGTTTGTAGGGACTCGATTGATTTTCATAATTTCTGCCAAAGAATAAAAGTTAAGTCCGAATGTGGAGAATTTATTCAGTCTTATTCTCATGGTTCCTTGCGGTGCACTTTACTTGCGGTGCACTTTACTTGTGTTCTTATCAAACTACATAGACTATTAAAAGACTTTATTTCAGCCAGAAACAGAAATTCAATCTTCAAAAAATTCTGTTAAGTGTTCTGTATGTAAGGACCAGCACGTTAAACTATTGTGAATTACACGTCAGATTGAAATCATATGTTTCCCATCAGAACTTCTTTAATTGAAGAGCTATTTAGAAGAACATGTTTTTTATTTCTAATATGAAATCGAATAAATATGATTTTCCCATAATATGCAGAATAATAACGCCTCACCGCGGAAATGCCTAAAAACTGACACTCCTCAAAAGTCGACATTTTTAAAGTTGTTTCCGTGATTTCTTTAATATTTTTGAGCCTTAGTTTTATATTGCTTGTTTCGGGCTGTTATTTGTTTAAAAATGTCTATTTTAAAATAGTTTTTCTTCTAAAAATTGATCGACTCTAAAACAATAGAAACCATCTTTACATCTATGTTTACTTTCTTAACTACAGAAGTAGCAAAGATATAAAACTGAAGTTTTAGCTTAAAAAAATTATGTTTATATTTTACGTAAAATACTTGCTATTCAGACAAAAAAAAACCTAGTGCCAACTAGTGAATAATCTCGTTTTCTGAATTTTTTCATGTTGCATAATTTGATTTTTTTTTTGTTAAACGAATTTTAGTATTTTAAATAAGATTAAATTAGCACTTAAACTGCTGCTTTTAATGAAACCCAACTCCATGTTTAAAGAAGTGTTTCATGTTTCTGATTTTGCCCAACTAAAAGGTCAACGACTTGCAAATTCTCAAATTCTGTATGTTTATATAACTCTTGTGGTAAGAAGGAACGAGTAAAATATATTGGATATTTTTTTTGCACACCCCCCCCTCTTCGTACGTTTTTTTATATGTAAAGGCTGAATTAGGACTTAAAAATTTGCGTTGCAAAAAAATTGTATTAAAAATCCTGCCAGCTTAAATCCCATTTTTTCCTTTCTAAACCCTAAAATGTTAAGTGAGAGAAAGATAAGGGGGTGATGGATGCAGGCCGCAGGGGGAGAGGTAGATGCAAAGGGGAAGAAGTGCAAGTTGTTATGGGTAGGAGTGGCTAAATACTAGGATGGGGTAGGGAGGAGGGGAGGGGACTTCTGTAAAGGGTAGGGGGGATGCCGCTTTAAAGGGTCAGGGTGAGCAGGCTGTTAAGGAGAGCTGTGGCTGGTGCTGGCTTTAAAAGGGAATGTGTGTGGGGGGCAGGTTGTGGAGGGTAGGGAGTGGGCAGGCAGTAAAAAGAAGGGATAGCAGGCAGTAAAGG